CCTCTCCTCTTTTTCTACCCTTTCTAAGTCTTCAGTTGCCTCCTCCTACAAACAAGTGTGTAGGAGGCTTGCAGATTGTATGGGCTCCTCAACCAACCAGAACACATTCCAACACCTGTATTTACATATCTAGGATAGGGTCTTAACTATGCTATTGGGGGCAGGGAGAGAGTAATAGTGTTTTGTATGAAGAAGAAATCCCTAAATGGTTGTATTTCAGATATTACACATTAAACCAATTACATAAGCTTAACTGCTGCTTCCTCCCCTTCTAGATAAGGCTGACCCTGGTTCCAGGTTAAATCAAGCTCATCAAAGGGACTCCACATCAGTCCACTGTCCTCCTCAGATATCATCTCACTCACTTTCCTTCTCTCACTTCTATACTCTCATTGCTTTTCTGCAGTTATTGTGTAATGATTCATTATTATTTTTCAAAGAACAGAAAACTAATAAGCTTCTAGGATGTAGAAGAAACTGCTTAGCCAGTGGTTCTCGAAGTGTGTTCCCTGAATCAGAAGCCTCATTATCATCTGAGAATTAGTTAGGAATGAAATTCTTGCTTGCCCCACCTCTCCCTGAGACTTTCTGAATCAGAAATTTGTGGGTGAGAAGTGAAGGGGCAGCGAAGTTTGAGAACTACTGGCATGAAGAAACTTAAGTTGCAGAGGGGAGGTGTGCCTGGCAGAGATCCCTTGTGAAAATTGAGATTCTGAATTAAGAATAAAATAAAATGGAAAGCTTCCAGATAAAGGGAACTATATTTCAAAACAGACAAAGAGATGAAAGAGGCAAGAAATGAAAGACTTTTTGGTATGTTGAATATTTTTGATGAAAGGCATTTAACTTGGATTCAGCCTGGTGTTCACTGTGATGCCTTCTCCCAGGCTCCTTTCCTGAACTTGGTGCCAATTCTTTCATCTTTTGCCTTTGGGGCCTTGGCTTTGAGCATTTCTGTACATACAGAGAGGAAATATGACCGAGGTGTGTGGCTGCAGGTGTCTGACTCTGTGAGGCCCCCATGAGTCACTGAGGCGGGCACAGGAGCAGAAGGAGATAGAGGAGAAAGGAGTACAGAGATGATAAGGAGAAAGGAAGAGCACAGTTTAAAAGAGGAGCAGAGAATGGGGAAGAAGTACACAAATAGTGCTGGTAAGTTATGCCCCATAGAGCAGGAGAAAGATGGTCGTTTGGGTTAAATTCTAACTATTGATCAGGACCATGAGATTCTAAGGTTTATAGGGACTTACACTGACATTGTAGTCCATGACTCTCAAGTATCCTGATGCCTGGCATTTCCATGACATGTTGCTGATGAGGGCACTTGCAGAATCTCAGCTAAGGGGCCAGGACCAGCCTCAGGCCTGTGGGTCCTGAGGAAAAGGACAAACCTGAGCTCAGGCACGAGGAGACCAAGAACACGTACCTCACATATCTTCTCCAAAGAGGGCACAAAGAAGTCATCACACACAATGGCCAGTGCGTAGAACATATACATAGCCTGGAAAAGAGGAGAGGAGAAAGGGTTGAAGTTGGTTAGGGCAGAGCGGTGGGGGAGAGGATCAGGTCTTCTCCACAAACCAGAGAGCCTCAATAATGTCCTCTATCATCTTGAATTCAGTATCTTACTCATAGTGAGGACAAAGTCTGCAAGGCCCTCCATATGTGATCTGACCCTGGCTTTCTCTCTTCCCTTATTGCCTACTGTTGCCCTCGTTGTCTACCTCCTTATTCCCCATACATGCCACAGAGTCTCATCTAGGATTTTCAGAATCCCAGGGTCTTTGCCCTTGTTGGTCCCTCTACCAGGTAATAGTCTTTGCCTAGCTGCCACTTAGGCTCAGTCCATCATGCCCTATAAGTGGCTGCTCAAATGTCAACCTAAGCAAAGGGCCTTGGACACTTCTCTCTCTCACATTTTTATCTATCCCCCTTATCCTTCTGTAATTGTTCTTTATGATACATATAAACACTACCCTGCTGCTGTCAAGTTGATTCTGATTCATGGTGATCCCATGTGTTACAGAGTAGAACTGCTCCATGGGGTTTTCTTGGCTGTAATCTTTATGAAGCAATTCACCAGGACTTTCTTCTAAAGAGCCACTGACCGCCTTCCAACTGCCAATCTTTAGTTTAGCAGACAATTGCAAACCAATTGTACTACCCAATGGCCTTATATGTACACTAGACATTCCATGTTCAATTAATTTATTTGTTGTCTCTCTCCCCTCTAGAAGTCCATGAGGAAATAAACTTTATACATCTCATTTCTTGTTGCATCCCCAGCACTTAGCACAGATCCAGGTTCATACCAAAAAACCCCAACAAACCCATTGTGGTCAAGTTGATTTTGACTTGATAAAAGGACAGAGTAGAACTGCCTAATAGGATTTCTAAGCTATAAATCTTTACAAAAGCAGACTGCTACATCTTTCTCCTGCAGAGTTTGAACCACTGACTTTCTGGATAGTAGCTGAGTACTTAACCACTGTGCCACTAGGGCTCCCTCCTGGATCATAAAAAAAAAAAAAAGAAAAAGAAAAAACTCACTGCCATCTAGTCAATTCTGACTCATAGTGATCCACAAAAGCGTCTTCCTTCCATGGAGTGGCTGTTGGGTTTGAACCACCAGCCTTCTAGTTAGCAGTCAAATGTCTTAGGCAGTGCTCCTTCCTCCCTCATTTGTTGTTGTGGTTGTTGTTATGTGTCGTGGAGTCAGACCCAACTCATAGCGACCCCTTCCTTGGGTTTCCGAGGTGGTATCACTAAGGAAGTAGATTGCCCAACCTTTCTTCTGAGGAGTGGCTGGTGGCCAGCCTTTTGGTTAGCAGTCAAGTGCCTTAGGCACTACGGTACCAGAGCTCCCTCCTGGCTCATGCTGTTGTTGTTACGTGTCATTTCAAAGTAGGTGTTAAATAACAAAACCTATCCACTTTCCTAATCCCTACAGGGCAGACTTCTCCCATCTTGCCTTCATGTCTTTGGTCAGTTATGGCCAAGGGCATTTCTTAGAATTCTACCTTCTGGACAGAAATCACCTCTCCACCTTATCCCACCCCATGTATCCATTCCCCAGTCATTCATGCATTCCTCATAACACTCCAATTTTGTTCAAATACCCACCATACTCCATGTGGAATGAATGTCACCCACACTTCTCTCCCAAAGTAGATACTGATTGGTATAGGCCAATCAGTATGCAGTTTTTCTCTAGTGATGGCTTTGGTTCAAAGGTTGGCACATGACCTGGGCTAGCACAATCAAATAGAAGGAAAGGCTCTATAGTCTTTGCCAGAGGAAGAAATTTCTCACCATTTGGTGTTGGATGTGCATACGGAAGCTAGGACCCCTAATATCATAGCTGGCAGCCATATGGAGGGAAAATCTAACTTGATATGAAACTGACAATGGGTCAGAAACTACCTGAGCCCTTAACATCACCGCTTCTGGATTTCATAAAATAACATAAGCATTGTTTAAGACTGTTTCATTTGGCGTTTCCCTGTTACTTGCCCCCCAAAGAATTTCACAGATGTAGTGACTCATCTTTCTAGTTCCAGCATCTTCAGTAGTAGATATTCCTCTCATTTTTTGACCTTCTAGCATCTCTCTCTTTCTTTCTCTCTACCTATCTATTTGAGAAATATTCCATGCGTGGGAATCTTCAGTCACACCTCTCACAACACAAGGAGTATGATCCTAACTGGCCCCATTCCCCACCACACAGGGGCAGGTAGACAAAGGTCTGTTAGGGGCCAAGTAGGTATTAATAGAAAATCTGGGAGAAAGGTGCTCTCTTCTTATGAGATAACCATTGTTAAAGCCACCCAAGGCTGGAGTTGCTGGAGGCCACTGCCATAAAGACAGAGTGTGCCTGAGAAAGTAGCTCACGCGGTAAAAAAGCTGAACCAAGCATGTGAGGTAGAGAGAGAGAGAGATTCCCAATGGTACCATTTGAACTTGAACATTGGCTCCAGCCCATTCTACAACCAAATGTACTTTCAAATTTCATGAGCAAATAATATGCTTTTAGATGTAATCTCATTTATTTTCTGTCACTTGCAACTATCCTCATGAAGCCTTCTGAAACAACCAAGCCTTTCATCTCTCTGCCTTTGACTCTTGCACTAATTTTGCCACCTGTCCCTTCCCTCCTTTTATAAGAGCTTGTTTTATTTTCACGTATATGTATTTGGTCTCTTCAACCAGAATGGAAGATTTTAGAGTACATTCTAACACTTTATTCTGTGTGAGTATCAGACAAGCATACAAAGATGATATTCATTCCAAGACTGCTGATTGCAATAAATTATCAAAACCTCATAAAATATAACATGATAAATGGGTATATAAACTAGGATTCATCATACAACAAAATATTGTTATAAAGGATTTTGTAGATCTATATTTAGTGATAAGGAAAGTCATTCATAATATATTGGTAAATGAAAAATGTTATAAAATTGTATGCACAATTTTTTTTTTGTTAAATTTTCTATGTACATACATGTACAGCTATCTCTTTCACATTCACACACACACACACAATACACACTCACGTGTATTTGCATATAGGAACTTATGAGGTCATAAATCAAAATAGGATTTATGTTTCTCCTTCAGTTGGTGTGACTATACCTTTGTTTTATAGTACCTTGGTGGTGCAGTGGATAAGTGTTCAGCTGTTAACTGAAAGTGAGTTAACAGCTACTCCACAGGAGAAAGATGTGTCTGTCTCTCAGTCAGCTTCCCTAAAGATTTACAGCCTTGGAAACCATATGGGGAAGTTCTGCTCTGTCCTACAGGGTCAATATGAGTCAGAATTGACTTGACAGCAACAACTGTTTTTTTTCTTTTTTAATTTATATTTTCCAACTTTTCCACACTCATTTTTTTTTATTTCTTGTGTGATTTTTGTAGGTGGTAGAAGATTTTAGAAATAAAGACTCCATCTTATACTTTTCTAATCCCTATGGAGCCTGGGATGACTGGAAAGCAGAAAGAGCTCAAAAGTAACTTTGTATTGATTCATCTATTCATAATCTGTGTAAAATTATCTGCCCATGGGCTTTTTGAAATGGCAATATTTTGAAAAATTAATGCTGGTTGTGGATGAATCAGAAAGTACATTCCCAAACTGAAATAGACTCAAACTCTTCTCAGCCACACAACTCAATTAACTCAAAGATATTCAGGTTTCATCATTACTTTGGAAAGGGCAAACTTAGTAATTGGGACACAAAGTAGCATGTTTGTGAATTAACTAAGTTCTAAATAAGCTGTTCACAGCTGACATTCCAACACGCTGAAACAGCCAATGTCACACAGGAATCCATAAATCTTCTCTCAAAGAATTATGTTCCAATATTATGTATTGATCTTATTTCGAGGCAAGAAGCTCCATATAACACATTGTAATATCAACACATGGATGAGAATGCTGAATGAATAGCTCTGTCATGCTCTTAGCACTTTCAAGGGTGATGGTTACTGAAAGCCACATTAGTTCCCATGTGCAGCCTGTGTGGGGTGGGAACACTTCATCAATCATGACACTTTACTGACAAAGCCCATTTGGGTACCTGGAGAGGACTGCAAGGTGACCAGGCTCCCTTTTTTTTTTGCTACAGAGCACCTTCTACCCTTTACGGGCAATTCTATTTTCACCCTCTACCATGTTACTCACTGGAAAACATGTCCCCAATTGGAAAAACCAAACCAAATCAAACAAGCAAACAGAAAAAAGGAACAAAACCATCATGCAAATTCAAACTTGAAGATGCAGAAAACCTCCTAGAAGTGTAACACTGATAGTACTATCAATATAGCTAAGGAGCTCTGGTAGTGTACTGGTTTAGGCATTTGGGTGTTAACTGAAAAGTCAGTGGTTTGAACCCACCAGCTGCTCTGTAAAGTCTGCTTCTATAAAGATTTGCAGCTTTGGAAACCCAATAGGGCTCACTATGAATTAGAATTGACTTGATGCCAGTGAGTTTGGTTTTTGGTTTTTATCAATATAGTTGGAGCATGCATGTATTTAAAGAGTAAGACATTTTTTAGATTAATTTGCCCATTCCAATCAATTATTCTATCTTCCTTTTTCATTATCCAACTTTTGGTTGCATATGAGACAACTGAAAAAAATCATGACTTTACTACAGACACACTTAGTCATCAAAGTGACATCTTTGCTTTTGATGCATTTGAATTCTGGTGTTAGCAAAGAGTATTGAATTTATGTGGACTCTAAACAAACAACAAAAACTGAACAAATCAATTTTAGAAGAAATACAACCAGAATGCTCCTTACAAGAGAGGACAGTGAGACTTCAACTCACTTACTTTGAACATGTCATCAAGAAAGATGAATTGTTAGAAAAGGACAGCATATTTGGTAAAATAGAGGGTCACCAAACACAAGGGAGACTCTCAATGAGAGGGAGTACTGCAATAGTTATAACAATGGACTCATCAAGAAGAGGTGCAGGACTGGGCAACATT